CCCAGTCACTGCCCAACTTCCCCAGAACGTCCTGGCTGAGCCTTTGCTCCTTGGGTAGAAGCGGTGGCTGAGTGAATCTGGCGATCAAACCCCAGGTTGGGCCCCCAACCTCCAGTCCAATCACGAATCTGCTGGGCATACACAGCAGTTGCTTCCTGGGGCTGGGGCATCCTATATGGAAGATCACGTGGACCTCACATGACAATCAACATGGATACATCCACCCTCAATGGGAATGTTCAAACGATTGTGCCAACATGATATATATATATATATAGATACTGTAATCCCGAGTACCTACTAAAAACAATAGGAATTGAATAAACCCTCTAAAATGACCAATAGGTGGAAGGATGTGGAAGGGATTCATTATAGAAATCAAGTTTCAATGAAATCAATATATATGAAAAATCAAATCCATCCCAATCAATGTGACATCAAATAGAAATGACACCATAATCATAATATGAACAATCATGAAGAATCAATCCATCCCTTCCATCACACGAAGCCCTCCCTCCAGAACGACTCCCGCACACGTTCGAGGCTCCAATTCCAGGATCGCCTCCCGGTCGCTCAAGACCGACTCGCTACGCCTCCGCGGGCACAGCTTCTCCTGGCAGCCCAGCGACCCGACGACGGATGGGGAGGGACGAAGTCGCCGGGTCGCGATGGGAAGAGTTCGTCCACCTGCGACTCCTTTAAGCAAAGCATTGGAGAGAGAGAGAGAGAGAGACTTGCTAACTAGTAGCGTCCGCTGCTACTACTATAGCGATGGCCTCCTAACCTAATAGCAGTCAATATTCCAGCCCCATGGAGTGTGCGGGAATGCAAGAATACTGAATATGATCGAATACGTGTTTGCAATCATGTATGTAAGACATTTCGGAGATATCACCACCTTCAAGACCGGTTTAAAGTGTACACCCCCCGAAAGAAAAATACACACTGCAATTTGAAGCCAAGTTATGTTGGATCCTTTTGGTGCGCCGAGTCCTGAACCAAAGATATGTTTCCGCTGCCGCCCCATTTATGACACTCCGACGAACACATCACATGGAAGCGGACACCATCCGGCCCGTGGAGGAAAATGGTCTTTCCAGGGGTCAAGTCATCCACTTCCATGTTGAGTAAAAGGTAAAAGGGTAGCTATGAATGACGCTTCATGGTAGCTATGAAGGGACCCCTGGCCATCGACACGTCCTCAAGGCGTGTGTTTTGCCAACAATTCCGGTGCCTTGAGGCCAATGGTGTACCATGGTCCGTACGTCTGTGTCTGCTCGCATTCCGGGGGTCAAGATCGGACTCAATCGCTCACCACGTGAGAAAGCCGCCGCACCTGGTGCCTCCGAAAACCAGGGTGCCATGGAGAGTGAAACAAGGGTCTGAGCCTGGGGGACCGAGCCAAGCCGATGGCATCGATGGCATCGAGCATCGTAGCGGAGCCCTCCTTCTCGTTGCCGTTCTCCCCGGAGGCACGGCGCTTGCGGCCAAACAAGTAGCCGCAGCAGAAGGCGCCCAGCAACAAGGTGACATGGACCCAGATCTGAGGAAAGGGAGGAAGGGATCAAAAGACCCAGTTGGAACCCGTCAAAGCAATGCTCAGTCCCGGGGAAGTAGAGACATAATGGATCAGGAGACAACGAGAATACACATCCTACCATTGACGCTAATACTGCTTATGATGCGAACTTCTAAAACCGCATGTTGACCCTTTGTGTCTAGACTTCTTTCAGTTGAAAGCTGAACAAAGTCGTCCATTTCGGCCTAAGAAAACCTATACAGAGGGACCAAAGCCACGGGGATTCAACAGCACACCATGCAGCCGGAAACACGACAGTTGCCGACGCCAAGTGTCCATAGCAAGTGGATGGCTGGCTTACTACTGCGCAGTCACCAGTTGCTGGCCATTGGGGTCAGAAAAAAGCGTGCCGAGTGCCGATATCGATGGTTGGAGAAATGCATTGTGCCTGGGAATTTCCAACGTCTGACCATCCATCTATAGCAGTTGAAAAGCCGCTGGATGGGCATTGATAGGGCTCCCAAGTCCACGAAGACTGCTCTACTTACGGCGTCAAAAAATATAAAACATCGCCCCCAACTAATAGTTTCAATGTTCTTGCATGTTGACGGCTTCCGGGGTGCGATTGGATCATTGGCCCGCGAATGAACCCTTCAACGACCAAATCCCTTAGGGTTTGGGGATTCACTCCAAAAAAATCTGGCTTCTTCAAGCAGGATGCCCTGATCTTGGATCATAGTCATAGTCAACTCGGAGCCAGCCGTTCTGCGGAAATCTCGAAGCTCGGTGAGTGCTCGTGCAAGTCATGGTATCGAAAACCGGACCCATCAATGGATGGTCATGTGCACTTCCACTCACCTAACATGGAAGTGGAGTTCCTCCCGCAGTACAGGACCAGCCCTAGGGCTCCTGGCCCATCTCCTCAGGTTCGGTCGTTCAACAAGACCCTAGAAGTCCAAGTCGACTATATTTTGACCGGCTGAAGTAAAGGCTATTCCTTTTCGGGAACATATAGTTTACTTATGTTTACTTAACAGGTGGAGAACATATTTTTTGGGGGGGTGTGAAGTCTGAATTGAACGCCCTTCCTTTTCCTGAATGAACGCGCTCGAGTCTAGACTCGAAAGGCCCGTCTCGCTCTTTTGGGCCTCAGAAGGTATGACTGGAGCCCTTATAGTAGCCGCTAAGTGGCAAAAGCTCCGACTCTTAGGGCTGCCTTCTTCAAACCAAAACACCTGCCAATCCGATGCAATCCCCTGCTGATGTTCTCATCCACAAACACAATTTCAATTCAAAAGAATGCAGGCCGAACCCTCCCAACAATATTGCTGCGAGGACTTCGGCACTGAAGGCCATCGAAGGCCCCTCGGGCTCCCGGACGTCCTCCTTCTCGGAGGAGGCCTGGAGGGGGTTGAGGCCAGGACGGAGGGATGAAGACGGTGGCGGACATGGGGAGAGACGACTCAGACTCTCCACGGCACACCAAGTGCCGGTGAAACGTTCTGGGTGTGACATGGATTCCTTCCAGATTTGAGTTCTGCGGGTGTTTCTTCCGGGCAGAAGAAAAGAAAAAGTGCAGCTTCAGTAGACTCAGTAGAATCCAGTAGACAGCGCAACATCAGGTTGTCTTCCATCAACGTCCTCAAGCTCTCACATCAGACCGTCTTCCAGTTTTCACATCGCTGGGCTCCATGGGAACTGGAGCAGTTGAACCTCCCACTGTTAACATCACATCGGACATGCACGGCTGGGCTTTCGGGCTTTCCGAAAGTGGTTGTTGCACTTTCGGAGTGTGAGGTGTTCGTCACAGGGGTACATTGACCTCTCAGGATCCCGAATGCTAAGCAACTACAGCATGATAGGTTTCTATAGGCCCAATGAGGCCCAGTGAGTTGAGTCCCATGGCTAGTGATCCTTAAGCTCTCCAAATCTTCTATCGCTAGCTGCTCAGCGAGTGAGATTGGAGTCTGGAGCACCAGAACGAACTGGGGGGGTCTGGGTCTGGTCATGAATTACGAGGAACCAAAACAACGAATCCAACATCTACACAGGGATCAAAGGCTTCTGAACCTTAATCGCAATTGGTGAGCCGGAGGGAGCTGGCATGTCTCACTCGGCTCCCTGACCCGTGTCCAGGGCCATGTCCAAAGAGGAGACTTTGACCCCCTGGAAGGGTGGGTGACGGCGCCCACCGAGAAACACATCCACAAGTATTATACCACGTCTGTGTAGACGTCCGGGGCAATGGCCCAGTGACGAATTGAAGACATGTCTGAAACATGGACCCCAGAAGGAAGGAGGGAACGAGTTCCTGTTGCCATTGCCGGGCCCCCCGTGTGTGTGGGCAGTTGGGTGATCAATGGGTCTGTACAGGGGATTCTATCGCCAGCCTGATTCCCTAGGCTGGCGATCGCTTTCAACCGCCGTCGGACAGCGCCTCTCTGGCCTGAAGCATGACTTGCAACTCTGCCTGCGTGGGAGATCCACCAGGGCAACAAAAATGGAAGCAAGGCTTTCTTTAAGGCCCCAGATCTCCGGCCATCCCGGTCTGCGTCACCTTCCGGATGTGTGGTCAATTCGGGCGGAGGGAGAAGAACCACTGACCCACCTCCCTTCCCCTACGAAACGGACGTTCGCGAACTGCGCGGCGAGGCTTCGCCGTTTTCGGTTCGAGGCTTCGCTCGTGGTGGTCCATCATGCAACCAAAGAGGCAAGAAGACTTGAGCAAACTGGCTTCCAACCATAGCTTTTCCATGCATCTGGAAACTCCTGATGGAAACAAATTCCAGATATGATATGTCCCAATTATATAACTGGAAGGAGGGTCCACCAAAGGGTAAAGTTAAAACCAGGACTGTAGACTGGGTTAATTAAATCTTCAGTTAGCCCCCCTGCCGAGCTCCGGATGCAAGTGAGAGTATAACTTCGAATAAACTGACTGCAGCCCTCACGCTATTCGCAAATGAAGGCCGCACACTGGACACTGGAAGGGAGTTGACCCTTGCAGTAGTAAACACTTGGAGGGGTTCTGGCACTTTGACAGCTCAAAGCAACAAGAACAAGAACCGCCAAGGCACCATAAGGCCATTGTGTCAGAACCCCAATCGCTTGCAGGCCTTTGTGTCATGCATCGAATTCAGGCGTTCCACATCTCGACCCGCCGATGACATGGAGACATCCGTCTTCAGGACCAAAACGTTGCCAAACTTTGGGGGGGGGCCTTCCTATTCACCATAGTAGTGGAGGATGATGGAGATGAACACATCAAGTTACCCAGCCTTTAAGTGTTTCACAGCCACGTCTAATGGGATTCTAGCACATGGACATGCACTAGAAGGCCTCGATGTTATGATGCTTTCATCCCGGTCAGGTGGGCCCTATGGGCTTGAAGGGGGTCCTCTGGGCTCTCCTGGCCACCGGCATGCCCACCACTAAGGGGTCAGAGTGAGCGGAGCGGGCGCCCGTTTCAGCTCCGCGATTAGCGGCTATACCTGGCAGTGGGGCGGTGGTCCAAAATCACCAAGGGCCCCTGTCAGGTTCCAACAACCTGCGAAACAAGGGATACTCTCCCTGGAACTCACATGGAAGTGGAACTCTCCCTGGAACGTACATGGAAGTGGAACCCCCACACACACACACTCTGACATTGGTTTGCTGTTAACTATTGTTAACTCAATTCTCACGTTGAGAAGGAAGGTGAGGGAACGGCATGGTGAAAAGTCCAAGAAAATTGAAGGTGTTTCAACAATGGTTTGGTGCACATCTGCAGTTCGCGAACGGCGCGCGCGGCAGCTGACGGCAGCAAAAGAAAGGTTATGGGGGATGAAAACATGTAACCACCATGAATCAAATAAGGCGGATTGGAACAGCTTGTGCAAGAGTTGCTTAGCAGGTACATGAGAGTGATCAGCTCTCACTTCCCTCGACACATCATAGCTTCATTGCGTCAGGTAGATGTGTCGAGCCTGACGCCCCTGCAACTGTGGTAGAAAAGAAAGGCGGAACCCTTAGTAACAGGGGGTGACACACACAGGTAGCCGAAGTCGGCGCAGGCACATGGAAAGGTGGCATCGTCTGCCTTTTTCTCTCAAAACGCCGGCATGCAGTTGGGTCGGTGGAAATGTGAACTGACGTTTTCTGTACCGCTTGGAAGTCAAAATGCGATGACACATCCTTGAAATCGAAAGTGCAGCTGCAAAAAAGAATTCCGAATCACAAGCTCTTGCAAACATGTCGATACAAAGTCTGGAGAAACAGAATATCCGTGGAAGCCCGGCGGCTCTGGATTCCGACAATTCAGTAGTGAGACAAAGACAGTCAACGTGATGCACGATGAAAAGATGATGAATCAGTGACACGATTTCCGGCATGACAACGGCGCCTCCTTGCGGAGGATCACACCCAGCACCCAAGTGGGACGGCTGAGCGGTTCACACTCTGACATTGGTTTGCTGTGTACTCAATTCCCACGTTGAGAAGGAAGGTGAGGGAACGGCATGGTGAAAAGTCTAAGAAAATTGAAGGTGTTTCAACAATGGTTTGGTGCACATCTGCAGTTCGCGAACGGCGCGCGCGGCAGCTGACGGCGGCAAAAGAAAGGTTTTGGGGGATGAAAACATGTAACCACCATGAATCAAATAAGGCGGATTGGAACAGCTTGTGCAAGAGTTGCTTAGCAGGTACATGAGAGTGATCAGCTCTCACTTCCCTCGACACATCATAGCTTCATTGCGTCAGGTAGATGTGTCGAGCCTGACGCCTCTGCAACTGAGGGGGTGACACACACACACAATGGTTTTTGCAAGGGTAAATTTTCGTGAATTGTCAACTTCCATTCTATAAAGACCCAAATACGACAATCCAAATCCGTCTGTTTCAGTTTCAGGCTTTCTCAGCAGGTGTTCTTTTCTGGTGAGAACAGCCAAGTCCATCCAGTGGTGTTCAGAACCATACTAGGAACAAGAAGCTACGAACGGGGCTCCTGGCATCGCTACTAGGAGCGATCGGACGCTACTAGGAGTTACTAGGGGCTCCTGGCCATACTACTAGTAAGAAGAACGCTACTAGGAACAAGAAGCTACTCTGATGGAGAAGAACTGCTGGAGTCAGGATGAACTGCATGAGTCAGGTGATTGTGGCGGTGGGACCACGCCACACCATGATGACCTAGCATGTTCTTTCAACAGAATAGGCGACTATAGGGAAGGTCAACCTACCATGAAAGGGCTCCAGGTGTTGTGAAAAAGGGGGATTTGGACCCTGTCCTCTGAACCTCTGTCCATCCGAATGCTGACCGAAAGTCTGTGCCGTAACACGGCGCCAAACAACTCACCACTCCGCCGCCCTTGGGGTGCAGCCACGAGGCCAAACGATGTACTCCGGGTACACCTGGGGCGGTTCTGAATCAAACACATCGCAGTCGACTTCGAGATCAAGGAAGGTGCGGTGTAAGCGACCAGCAAAATGGTCACAGAACCGGAAATTAAGGACTGATCTGCACCTGATCTGCCCCAAATGGCTGGTCTTTGGACCAGTTCATCGACACCCGTCTACCAAGACCCCCGAAGACTCCCGAGTCTGCCGGTCGTCGGCCTGGTCGTTGTCGAATACAATGAACTCTCGGTAAGTGCCTCTCACCTGGGCGGGCGGGCCGTGCAAAACAGCCCCAAACGCAGCTGGGAGGCTTGAGCAGCTTGACTGTAGAGGTTTGCCTGCTCTCTGGGAGGTGTGTGTTGGGTCGTGCAGCTTCGCCTGCTTTGAGGCTAATTCAATTGGAACACTGTTCCCCAAAGCTTTTCATGAGCTCTCCGTGCAGGATTCATTCGTGTTTTGGGGGGTTTTGGGGGGTGTCTCAGCGGACAGATCCGTTGTCGATCTCGGGCCTCCGATGATCGTCGGGCATCGCTACGACTTACAAGGACGCTACGAATGTAGCTCTTGGCATTACTAGTAACAAGAAGCTAGCAATGTCGGCGGAGGATTAATCAACCCACCCCCCACCCACCCCACCTTCAAGGTCAACAAGGTCAACAAGGTTTGAGATTGGAGGGATTGGAGACCTCATCCCCTTAATAAAGGTGATGACCTGATGATGGATGATGAGATGATGACAAGATTAGGAAAGATTGGGATTGGGATGATTGGGATGATTAGGAAAAGAAAGAGGATTGCAGGATGGAAGGGATGGAAAACAAGCCAAAGGATGGGCTTGATTAATAGGGGAGGGGCCCCTACTATTAGAGGGTGGTAGGCCCTGTGTGAGGGGTACCCTTTGTGAGCTTGAAAACCTTAAGATGATAGAATTATAAAAAGGTAAAATTAAAGAAGGTTGCTAGCAAGTTCTTTTTGTATTTAACAGGGGAGGATGAGAAGAAAAAAACAGGATGAGAAGCAAAGGAGGATGAGAAGCAGTGGATCAGAAGATACTGGATACTGCCCAAAAAGAAAGTATATCGTTTCCTGGGGGAGCTGGGCTTGATTAATACGGGGAGGTCAGGTCATCTGCTAGGAAAAAACACATATTAGGGTGATGTACATGTCGAATTCAGGTTTTAACATAGTTTAGAATTGAGGGCTCGTGCTGGGCTTGATTCATAGGGGGGGTTACTTAAGACTTAATCCTAGGCGCGCATTAGATTGGAGATTCGCAGGGGCGAGTGGACGCGAACAGTCCGCTCGTACGTCGCCTTCTCTCGATCCCCCAGGACGCAATGAAAGCCCTCATGGTGGCAGGCGTCCTGCGGAAATTGGCCGAACGGACCGGTGCATGGAACCCCGAAAGAAGAAACACATGATGATTGATCATCCGGTCCATTCTAAACAGGTTGCTGTATGGGCGACTGGCCATTGCTCCTACAATACCTCTTCGTTCCATGAGTTTCCTGCAAGCCGAATGCCTAAAACCGCAAAAAAGTCGTTAAGCACAATTCTGTTGCAAGGGTACAGAAGTAAACATCATGGTCAAAAGCATCGGCACTTTGAGATTTCAAAGTCTTTGAGCAACCGCCCCCCTCTGTCAGCCTCTGTCCCCGAAAAAGAATGAAAACGGTTCCTCGAGCTTCTCTTTGTGGTCGGAGGGGCTCTTCCAGTCACCTGAGATGTGTCCAAGCAAAGTGCCTAGAGCTCCAAGTCCCACAACATTTGCAACATGCGTTTTGTTGGAGGCGTATTTTTCACTTCCGTGGGTCAAGAATGTGTACCCCAAAAAGATTCTGGTGAGAACATAGATCAGCCATTCATCTGGTATTTAATATTTATATGCGGTCTGATAATGTCTGATATATATATATATATATATTGATTTAATATACTATAATATAGATGTAATGCATTGTTTTCGGGCAAGCCTGACTGCTGCTGGTTTTCCCCCAAAACCCCTTAGACCCTATAAGACCCTATATAGACGTCGTCACGGTCCAAACCTGGTGTTTTTGGCCTTTTCAGGCGTGACCGTGGCTTCAGAAGTCCCCCGGTGGTTTTCCCGTCGCGCTACGCTGCTCCGTTCTTCGCTGATCTTCTGCCGAGTTTCAATAAAAGAGTCGTCCACAGGTCACTCGGCAAAGGATGAGTGGATACCAGTCCCTGGAGACCGGTCGGTGGCTTGCGGCGGCGAAATGGGATGGACATGCAAGCGGCACCGCGTGTCCGAGTACCGCGACGTTCGGCGTCCGGCGGCGGGTCACACAACGGCACCACACACCTGAGAGAACGAGAAACAAGCAGTTGTCAATCAACAGCTGGTTGAAGTGGATGTGAACAAACAAACGGTTCACTCGTGCACAGTGTTCGAGTCGACCACACTCGAGAAACACATATGCGCCTCTCATCTGCTTTTGTGTATTCATCTGATTTCATGCAGCTCCTGAGGCACCCATTCAGAAACGAACGAAACGTGAAATGCAGCGAACAGAATGACAGCTATACCGGAAAAATACATGTTTTATCATGTTTTGGTGCTTTGAGGCGTGATATCTTGTATTATCAGGTCCAACTGGTTAATTCAACCGTACAACGAAAACTTTCAAGCCTAAGTTGTGCAAAATGTTTCTTGATTGAATGCTTACTCCTCCACCGCCTCCACCCACCCAGCTCCACCCCAAAACACCAAGGATCTCTGCAAAGTAAAGTCCGCGTCCAAACATCGTCCCAGCTGCCTTGGACCCGGTTGATGTTGCGGGACGGACGGGCAGCGCGGTCTGTCTGACAAAGTGTCCATGTGGTGGAAATTTAAATACATGGAGCGTCTGGGGGAATGTTCTTTTCTGGTTCTTACAATGTTTTTTGAACTCTCTCTCTCTCGATATATATATATATATTGGGGCAGCCAACTAGCAGGGAAGAGGTAGGAGCAGGGAAGAGGTAGGTTTCAGTGGTAGTTGGGAGCAAGTTGGCCACAAGGCTCCTCTGGGAGAATAGTGGGATTATTTTTTAATACAAACCCGCTCTTGAAATATAGTTGGAAATTAGATCTGTTTTGTTCGTTTGGATGTTCTTTGTAAAGAATTGTTTTAGAAATATCAGCCTTATGCAGTTAGTGTATTCTGCTTATCTTGCCTTTAGTGGGTTGACTAGAAGGGGGGCTTAGAAATTATTAAGGGATGCATTAACTGAGTCTGTCGGAGTTTAATCACTAGTCTGTCTTTTAAAATGGCACAACCGGTCAAAATCAACAAGTCAACAAAAAGTCAACAATGAAGTGCGTCTTGAGGAGCTCCATCTCGCCGTTCTCACTGTCGTTCAATCTTCGGACCTCCCTTGTCCAGTGCCAAGGATCGCCATCAGCTTCCAAAATCACTGAATCCGCTGACTCTTGGATTCAGCGCCGTAGAAAGCTCCCAACCAACGACGTTCTGTGGCCCCAGTGTTCTTTGCAAGACAACTGAGCGTCGTTGTCCAGTCAGCTTGGCTGCGTGCAGTGTGGAGCATCTCTGGTTTTGGCAAGCCTTGCGGCAGTGGTGTTTGCTGTCATCACTGCCTTCTTTGTCAACGTCGTCGCTGTAGTGACAGTCACCGAAGGGATGTTCTTACGTCCACACCTTGGGCATGCGGCGACGCGTTGAAGCAGTCAAGGCAGATCGAGCAGTGCGTACGCAGACAGCACTGCACAGGCGGACATGCAACAAGCTTCCAATAGTTTCCACGTCTGTCTCGACCGGCTCCAGGCAGCTGACCTCATGAGTTTGCTTGGCCTTGCTGTAGTGGTTGCCAAGCAGGGCGAATCCGTCCATCCGTCCGCGCATCTCCCTGGAGTGAGACATTCCTCAAGTCTGCGTGGAGTGATTGTAGGGCTTTGGAGATCCCTGTCCGCGTGTGGGTTTTGATCCAGCAGCCCTTCGTTTTGCATCATCAATGCCATGTCCTCCTTCTTGGAAAGCCATTAATGAAGGGCTGACACTTCCAGAGTCTGCATTGGCTCCAGCCAATTGGCCTTTCGACTGGCCCCAGAAATAGAGTCCAGAAAGAGGCTTCTCGAAACTCAAACTCAAACCCCTCCAACGTTTTGGAATCTTCTCAGACTTTTCTTCAATAAATTCAAACATACATCTCCAGATTGAAAGCAGTCAAAGCAGCAACAAAATGGTAAAAGGTGCTGCAAAGTAAACATTTTGCAGAAATACAGAACATCATTGAAACCCAAAAACAACAAAAAGGCAGGCCAGCACCAATTACTTTACTTCGAGTGATCCCCACCATGACATTTCAATCATTTGTCTTGATGCCATAGTGAGGAGCATGTTGCCATGGTCGTGAGTATTGTAGTTCTCGATTTTGGTTGTGGGTACTCGGGTTGTGTGCTGTGGTTGTGTGTTGTGCTTGTGGTTGTGTGTTTGTGGTTGTGTGTGTGTGTGTTTGTGATTGTGTGTTTGTGATTCGTAATTGTGTTTGTGTTTGCGTGTTTGTGGTTGTGTGTTTGTGGTTGTGTTCGTGGTTGTGTGTTTGTGGTTGTGTGTTTGTGGTTGTGTGTGATTGTGTCTGTGGTTGTGTGCGTGATTGTGTCTGTGGTTGTGTGTTTGTGATTGTGTGTGGCTGTGTGCTTGTGATTGTGTTTGTGATTGTGTGTTTGTAGTTGTGGTTGTAGTTGCTTGTTTGTGGTTGTGTTTGTGGTTGTGTTTGTGGTTGTGTGTTTGTGGTTGTGTGCCATGGTCGAGGTCCGGCAGGGAACACTGGGCGTGGAAGGTCGTGGTTGAGGTCCGGCACGGAACACTGGGCGCGGATGGTCATGGTTGAGGTCTGGCAGGGAACACTGGGCGTGGAAGGTCGTGGTTGAGGTGTGGCAGGGAACACTGGGCGTGGATGGTCGTGGTTGCGGTCCGGCAGAAATCACTGGCCATGGATGGTCGTGGTTGAGGTCTGGCAGGGAACACTGGGCGTGGATGGTCGTGGTTGAGGTCCGGCAGGGAACACTGGGCGTGGATGGTCGTGGTTGAGGTCTGGCGAGGAGGAGAGAAGAAGAAGGAGGAGGAGAAGGAGAAGTCAGCTAACATAAAATCTAACAACCCTCACCTGACAGGTGGGGAACTATAAGTAAGCGCAGGCCAAAATGGCAAGGTACACTAAGGACCGACCGATAGTGGCGCAAACCAACCGCAGACCAAGTGCAACTCGGGGTCGAAGGCAAAAAGGTCTCCGTCGCACGTCGTCCAGGCCATGCACTGTCCGACGCGCAGAGAGATATCCGACCCCCCCAAAAAGAACTGTGAACACTGTGAAGTGGTGAATAAATAGATTGGGTGACATTAATTCAATTAACTCTTTGACTAAGTAAACACGCGAGGGCTCACCCGGAAACTATAAACAAAATAACATGTGAACATTATGTGTGAAGCTGTGACTGTTGGAATGTGGAGTTGTGGTTGCAACCATGCCCAGGGAATTGGAATTAAGAACATGCATGGCTGTCTTTATCCTTTTCCTGAGCCAACAAATTTGCAAGATCACACAATGAAACCCACGCTTTGTCGGACGATCGAGAGTTATTGATACTACGACTCGGCAAACACGCCAGTGTCACCTTGAAGACCATGTCGTTGGAAGCAGGCAGGCCGTCGATGAAGATGAAGTCCGGCCAGAAATGTCCGGCCCAGCCCAACCCAGTCCGACCCAACCCAACCCAGCCCGACCAAAGGATCCAAGGTTTACCTGTAACTACTTAGAGAAACTCCTAGTGTTGGACCAATGACTTCACCTGCACCGACATTTTACACTGGTTCAAACAAGCAAATCATACCAAGTGGACAAATCACAATCAACAGCTTTGGCAAGCAGTCATCCTTTCAGTCATACCAATAATAAATGGGTGCCCTTTGAGTGGGCTGGTCATTTCTGGGGATATCATCTTACAAGGTTTGAAGCACTTTGCATGCAGTTGGAACACACAAAACACATGGCACACTATTGAAAGCAACAATGGAGGAAAGCCAGCAGGCAGCAGCTGTATTCCAATTGAATTGTTACACTACCCCAAGTGTCACACTCTGTATTAGTGGCTTGATACCCACCATCTCAATTTTATCTATAATACTAATTAGGGATTTGTTTTGATTGTTTGGTTCACCAACACAAGCCAACAGCTCTTTTCCCAGCTTTGTAGAACGTTGATATCAAATCTCAAGACACTTGGACTTCCAACTTAATGGCTAGTTTATGAGAAAAATCAACTCCTACCACTTTAAGGATTTCTCTGGGCCTGCAAATCATACTACCCAAAATGAAACCCTTAGATTGAGACCAGGATAGAAAGACTGCTGGCACGTCCAATTGCAGCACTAAGTATACTCAACTGAGTTGAGGTATGGAATCAACAACTGAAAAGTACATCACAACCCGGGTGATTATTATTCATTGAAATACTGTTCTTGACAAGTTCTTGACAAACAAGGTTTATCAGATACTTTTATCTGAATGAAACCATTTTTTACATACTGACATATACAGACTGTTATGCAAAATGATGTTGATCAAAATCATGTAGAATTCCTACCTCTTCCCTGCTCCTACCTCTTCCCTGCTAATCGTCCCGTCTGAATATATATATATATATATATGTGTTATTCCATGGTTCCTCTATAGGATATCTCTGATTCTTCCACGCCACGCAGGCTGAAAGCATCCCAACATGAGGTCTTGGCAAGCTACATGAGGCACCTTTGGTTTTACTGCTCCGGTGTGAGCAAATATTCCGTCTGAGGATTCTCACACATCCGCAACTGATTGCAACCGTGCACTGTTTTCTGCCCAACAACAAGCATCCATGTCCTTCCAACACTGACCAAACAGCAACCTAGACCATCAGTGCTCCACAAACTCGTCAGATCAAGAACAAACAAAAAGGACCTTCGGCATGCAGCAATTGCAAGAAAACAAGGATGAAAAGGTCTAAGTCACCAAAAGGATCTGAGAGAGGTCATGCACTCTCATGTGGAGGCCATGTGAGCACCGCCGTGATCTGAAGTTCACGGAGCCGAGCCAACGTGTTCAAGCACCGACCACTGGCCGCTCCCCATAGGACTGGCCAAAGAGGCTCTCTCTATATATATATATATATTTTTTTTTCTGCGGTTCTTTTCCAACTGCATGTGCTCAATCGGCCTTTTGCCGGAAGCAGATGGGTAGCTGCTTTTGCCCCTTCTGCTGTGAGCATGGGCCTTTCAAGGCCTTGCTTGTCCTGAATGGGTGGACCAGCGCATGTGCCTTGCAGGCTTGGCACCACAGCTTTCCACCTCTGCGCCACATCTGATGGCTTGGGTGTCCCTGCCAGCCTTCTGGACTCCACAGTTGGTTCCAACATGGCATGGTGGCCAACTCGAGCAGCTTCTCTCGCGAGGAGTTCTTGAGCAACTGGACATGGCATTTCACACAAGAAATGTAGTTCTTGGCTTCCTCAAACTCATGTGGTGCCATGTTTGGGATTTGGCCTCTGATCATCTCTTGCAACAATGCAGACTTGGTCTGACTGGCCGTGTCACCTCCAACAAGGGGTGGCTGTGGGTTGTCAGCACACTGTTCGGTCTTGCCAGCAAGGATGTCTTGGTATTTGCTGTGCATAGTGAGCCTCTTCTTGCAAGTGGCGCACTGGACACCTTTGCCCTTGGCAACCCATGTGTGTGATCCCTGGCCTGCGTTGTGGGTCAGGCTAGTGAGTGCATTCTGCTTG